CGTGTAGATACGTATACCCAGAGAGAAACGGTTTGCCGTTTCACCTTATCCTACATTTCAGGAAGGGGAATTAAGAAAAATAATTTATCTGAGCTCTTTCTATCATCGCTGCATATGGGTTTTGGTTTTGAGCAGCTGATTTTTTTTTTTTTTTTTTTTTTCCTCAGAAAAATAGATTAATTGAAAATGAGAAACTCCATTATCTTTGGACCTGACTACTTTCTATTTAGTTCTGAAGGCTTTCTGCCCTTCTCTGCCTCTCCTTTCTCCCCGACTGGCCGTGTAAACAGAAAATGGTTTGGGATGCCGGAGGGCTGAAGGCGCAGCGTGCAGGGCTGGGTGGGAGGAGGTTGCACTCGCTTTCCTCTGTAGCCATGGACAAGCTGCCACAACTTGGCTGTTTTTTTCATCAGGTATTTGATGGTAAATAATAAAGATAAAATTTGGAAGCCTTGATGATATAATGCTATATAATCTATACTCCGTTAGAAATAATGCTCTCTACAGGGAGCCATAATGGGACTGCTTTGGACTTTTCTGGAGACCATTCATACCAAATTGATTTTTTTTTTTTTTTTTTTTTTCTTTTCTTTTTAACATGTTAGAGCACCAGTAGTGTTTTCTGCAACGCATCAGGCGTTCCTGCCAACGCGTACGGTCTCCGCCGAAGGACTCGGCGAGGCGGCGCGCTGCTGGCTTTTGCAGTTCCTCTTTCAAGCAGCAAATGGGTTTTGACTCTAGAGATCACTTGATGTTGAGCTGAATTTCCTAGCTGACAATATAAACTATTAGTTTATAGAATTTTAAAGAAGAAAAACATTTGAAAACCCTAAAAGGAATATGGAGAAGCTTTTTCTGGTTTTCTTTTTGCTTCCTCCCATTCCCTGTCTTTTCTGCCCCCCCCCCCCCCCCCCGCACATCCTCCCCTCTTTGCCTCCTCCCCTGCCCCAGCAGGGTCCTCTAGAAAATGCCAAACTATGGATTTTGCCGCATCGAGTTTGGAGCATGTAACAAACATTCGAAACATTGCGTGTGGGGCAAGTGCAGCCGCCATTGGCAGTTTATTTTATTTCCCTTTTTTCCCCCCCCTCCCTCCCCCCCCCCCCCAAAAAGAACCCCTCCCCATGACTCCCTCTCCGGCTGCGCGGGAGATAACAATGGGGCGCTTTGTGCTGCTCTGCAGCTGCTGAAATTTGACTAGATCCAACTGAAGAAAACAGGAGCAGGTGGGTCAACAACGTGACCCTTTCGTTCCCAGCAGTATCAGTGTGTGCCGGGGCCGGAGGGGACCGGGCTGGAGGTGAGCCCCAAAATTTAGCCCAGGCCGTAAGGATGTGTTGGTTGGCGCTTTGAGGGTGGGAGCTGCCTTTCTGAGGTAGCCCCCCCCCCCCCCCCATGCCTCTCGATATCATGGGGTTTGCTGCCATTTGTAAAATGGGTTTCGCTCCAGAAATGCTAGGATTGGGACACGTTGCTGTATGTGATAAACCAAGAGGTTTATCGCTACAGGGAAGAGATCTTTGCTCTGTTACCGGTGCCTCGGTTCCCGTATTGCTGTGAATTTCTCGGTTCGTGCGATGCTCCGTGGCTGCCCCGCAGCTGAAGCTCCCCATGCCCAGTGCCTGCCCTCCCCCTCCCGCAGCCCCAAAGTTGGGGGGATCATTTGACTCCCCCCCTCTACGTCCCCGTCCCCTTTCCCCCCCCGCCCCCAGGTCATGGAGATGACTTCCCCTCACGTCCCTGTTTTTGCGGTGGTAGAACTGCCCTAAAAATTGTTGAGGGTGGGAATTTCTGCGGCTTGGAGGAGGGTTCGGTGCGTGGTTCCCGGGATGTTTGGTGGAGGTGGAGGATCGTGTTGGGCTCCTTTGCCTGGCACTGCCGCATCAGCAAAAACATCTCATCAACACGGCCCACGCGCTAGCAAGAAGAGGAGGGTGAGGATAGGGAGAAAAATACCGTTGCTACTTAACTGCATGGGTCAGCTAAGTACCAGTTGTTCCTAAAGCCTTCCGTGCCAAGGTGTGATGACTGGGCTGATTCCTTGCGGGTGTCACGGTGCGTTTGGGCTTTGTGAGCTTCAGAAGTGGCGTTAAAAGGTGGCAGCGCTCAAACTTTCCGCAGCGTTGGGCAGACGCACGGTTACAGCCTGGAACCTGTCTAAGATTGCAAGGGATTTTGAGTCTGAGGCTTTTAAGGACTAGGCATGAACAACTGTTTGTAAGTCAGCGGTTAGAAACGCAAGGTTGCCGTTGATGGATCTTGTAATCTTGCTTTCTAATATCAACTTACAATAAATCGAATGCGATACGGGGCAGAGCTCCCCCCCCGTTGTGCTGTGCTGTGGACACAGTTGTGATGCTCAACGACGTGTCCGTGGCCTTGAAAGTCTTTGTGATTTAGCTGTAATTTTTAGTAGAAAACCTGACACACACCTCTCAGCTAATCCTACCATCACAAGTGCTTGCATTGCTCATGGGGTAGGATCAAGCATCAGGGCTTAACTGTTTGCACGTGATGAAGTCTGGAAGAGGACTAACGAGTTAGAGTCGGGATGAGTTCCACGCTAAATGGGGAAGGGGGAGGCGGTGGCAGCTTTGGCAGTGGGTCAGGAGCCGGGGGGCTGCCGCAGGGAAGGGTCCAGGGTGAGGAGCTGCTTGGGGGTGGTTGATGGAGGCTGGAGAAGGAGCTTCTGCTGCCGAGGGCTGGGGATGTGAGCGTTTGGGTGATGTGTGCGAGCGCGGAAAATTGATCTGCGTGACCACGTTGCCAGCTGTGGAGACTCAGTCCACCAGGAAGAGGGTTGTTAATAAATCAGAGGCTCCCCGTGCGTATCTGCGCCTTGAACTTGGTTTTTAGGAGGGACTTGCTGCGATCTGCTGCGAGGGTCAGTAGCAGAGCAAAGCACAGCACAGCGCTTCACCTGCGCGAGCAAAATTTGCCCGTTGCCGTCGACCGGGGCGGAGCAGCCGGAGCTGGACAGGATTTAGCCCCAAGCCGAGGAAGTTGATACGAACACTTGTGAAACGGGTGCTGTGACCGTGCACTTTGTCCTTGGCTGCACTTGCAGCTAAACCCTGCTTGGTGCCGGCTTAGCTGCACCCGCTGCCAGCCCCCCCCTTGTCAGCAGCGGGTGATTTAAGAGGTTTCTCCCAACAGCTGGCAGCACTCGTTGCCCCCGCTGCTCCCCTCCCGCCGCGGCACTGAGCTGTCCCCCTCGCTGGCACGGTTCGCTTCGGATTATGCTGTTGGGCTGGCAGCCGGGCGGCGGTGCCAGGATCCGAATTGGCCGGTTTGGAAGCAGCAGCACAGGTGCAGGCTGAACCCCTGATCCTCGGAGGCCAGCACGTACCAGGAAGGCTTCGGCTTGGCTTCGGGCACGCGTCCCTGCGTGTTCCTGCAACCCGTTTCGCGCGCAAGAAATCCGGCATGCGGGACCGCAAGATCCTTCCGTGCCCCTTCCCCTCCGCGCACGCAAACGCCTCCCTGGGAGGAGTTCGGTTTAAAAATAAAATTTAAAAAAAAAAAAACAAACAAACAAAAAAAACCAAACCCAACCGAACCCACGCCGCTGTGCCCTGCTTGGTGAGAGGCGATGCTGCTCTCGAAGGGAAATGCAGACGTGGGGACGTAAAGGCCGTTTGGAGATGTAGAGGCGCGCGCCTTCCTGCCCAGCCAGCCAGCGTGCATCCTATACGTCTGCAGGGGAACACAGTGATTACCATATGAAAACGCTGGTAACAGTAGGATTCTTGTGCAGGCAGAAACGAAGGAGATATACTACCACTTTAGTGCCAGTTAGACCCATAACTGCTATTTGTGGCTGGGTTTAGTAACAATTAACCTTTCACATTTTGTATTAGCCATTGCTTTCCTGGTGCAGCTGCTTTTATAACAATATACTTTGCTTCTCCCCTCAGAAGCGCTAATTTTGGCAGTCGGGGTATCTGTGCTAAAAATCACAGGATGTATGGCAGGAGAATAGGGATTTTTTTTAATAGCTGTTTGACAGAAATATTTGAAAACAAGGGTTTGTAATTGGAAGTAGGGCAAGGTTGGAGTAATTTGGTTTTGGCATCAGTGTATTGTTACTTAAAAACGTAGTGGAGGTTGGCCTTCACCTGTCAAAACAGAACTGCTGTATTCTGGCTCTTCCAGAATAATCATTTCAATATTTATACTGTATGCTGTGCTGGAAAAAGAAAATGCAAAATGCACATTTGCATGAAGTAAGGTATAGCCTGCCTTCTCCAAAGTGGCTGTTATCGCAGGTAGCAGGGTCACTGTGTGGTTACAAGGCCGTGCTTTGATCTCCACTCTACCGGTACTCAATCTAAAGTAATTTTGCTAAATCCAGAAATATGTACAACTGGCTTGATGGACAGTTTGGAATTTCTTCATTGTGATTTTTTTTTTTTTTACAATTAAAAATTCAAAGCTTCTGCTTTGCACATTAATGTTGATGATGAACAAGACTTAATGTGATTTTAATCATGGCCTTTTGAAGATAAAGACTTCTCCGTTTTGGCACAAATCCAGTAAAGTCAGTGGGACTGTTTGCAATCGCTCGGTCAGTCCGTGGTCTGCAGGAATCAGCAGCAGCACCGATCTGTCGTGTGCTGGGTCACCTTGCCAATTCCCAAGGCACTTAAATCACATTTTCCTTTGCTTCATAGAAGTTCTTATTTTTTTCTCTGCATAAAATCACCACGTAAACAACAAAAGTGTCAGCGTGTGCGCTTGGAGAACACCACCACAACCCCGTGCACCGAGCGCAGGTGCACGTCATTCACACTCCAGCTTAAAGCATCTGAATTACCAGAGTGTGTGATGTGTATATCAGGACAGAGTTGGTACCTAAGTTCCCCCAAGTTAAACTTAAAAAGCAGTACAGGTTGGTTTGTTTTTTTTTTTTTCCTTCTTGGGTGTTTAAAATTTGTGAAAGGGTAACTCACAGGACTTGTGCAATAACTATTTTCTTTTCTCACGTGTTGGCACTACAGGATGGGAATCACAGCTCCTGGAAACGGGGTTCCTGGGGATATTCCTCTGCCCGCTCTGGACCCTCTCCCGCCTGCCCCGGCACACTCCTCCTTCCAGCATCGTCATCTGGGGCTTTCGGTGGCTGATTTTCAGGATCATGCTTGGAGCGGTAAGTGGGACTTTGCATTTCTGCTGTTTTGAAGTGACAGCAAAAGGAGTGCCTCATCCTAGCAGAAAACCTGCCCCTGGTCCAACGCACTGGAGTCCTCTGGTGTAGGAATTTTTCTGGTTACAAGGAGGGAGCGTGTAGCCCGAAATGCTTCAGGCTCTGGTTTACAGAATCTTTCAACTTATTATTAGTGTTTATTTTAAGGAAGACAAACATTGGAGTAATAATATCTGTGTTGATACGTCGGTGCTGCTCTTGTGATTGGCACTTGAAAAGGAATAAAACTGGGGTTTGAGACTTGGGCAGTGTGGCTTTTTTGGTAAGATGGCTGGGAATCCAGTGGGTAATTCCCAGGAACCAGGAGCTTTACCCTGAGTTATTTTTTATTGGTGTGCGCTTTGCTGAAATGTCATTCTCCGCTCCGTGTTTTCAGAGAGAACAATTGCTGCATTACTGTCCCAGTGCCAGTGGAAGTTCCCGAGTAGCTTGTAAAAGAATCCATCAGGAACTGACACATCTTTGTTAAAATAAAGGTGTGGCAGAGGCATTAACCCCATCATCTTGATTTGCATTTTGGACATTTCAAAATACCACAAAACTTTAAGCTAAGGATCATCACGGCAGAAAGAGATTGCAGGCAGGTGGGACATTCTTGTGTCCACTTGCTCTAAAATTTTTATCTCACCCTAGCTCTTAAAGTGCTGGAATATGTAGTTGAGCTCAGTAAGGTCTTAATTATCCTCCTGCCCTGAAAAAAATAAAATAAAGGCAAACTTTTTTTGTGTTAACCTTTGTGTTACCTGTTTTCAAGGCAACTTTTTTAGCGGAAAACGTGTTATCACAGTAGATAATAGCATTATTTTGTAATGCTTTTTAAATGCCATAAGGCTTTTGGTTGGAGTTTGGATGAATGTTACCGTGCTAACATCCTGCTGTACTGCTCCTGCCATACCCCGGGATGGAGGCTACTGAAACGCATCTGTAATTGCAACTTTACTTTAAATGATAGAAATCCAATCTTTTAGGAAGCCTGACTCTTGTAGAGAGGGGGTTTTCTTTGCCTCTCTCCAGGATGAGAGCGGGAGATGGAGCTAATGGGAAGATCTCGCTGCTGGGCTGAACAGACAATGTCAGGAGACTCATGGCGAACAAGCTGTTGTGGTTAGGTAGCTAAATGCAAAATTAGTTAGGATCTCGTGATCTGTTTCATGGAGTCTTTTCCTGGGACATCTGGGAAATTGCTATTAGAAAAAAAAAAAGCTGGAATGGTTCTTAACAAAACCACTGATAGGAAGGGAATCGAAATGGGTGCACCTGCGGAGCTTGGTGTTGTCTGTGGGAAAATGATGTTGGAAGTGTGGTAGCCAGGTGTGGTACAGTGGATGCTTTTGGGAGAGAATAATGGAAGAGAATCCTTAAAAATGGCCTGCCTTAAACCAGCAGACGGTTTGTAGATCTGCCTCAGAGTGCACAGCCGGGCGAAGCAGCCGGGGTGCTTCGGGGCTGGCTGCACGGAGGGGCTGGGTCCGTGGGGCTCAGGGTCCCTTCTGCACGACGTGGCCTGTTGACTTGCTGCAGGCTCTCTGCAGAGGAGCTCCTTGGGGATGATAATTTGCAGTCCAGGTGAACATCACAGATGATGAGATGTGGGTCTCCATGCAGTTCATCCTACAGCTGCGAAGGGTATGTTGTTGGTCTAGTGAGAACGATTCTGTTGAAACTTTTCTGGACGCGAAGTTAAGGGTGGTTTTGGTATTAAATTTTTGTGAGAAAGTAGCCGTTGATGCTTTCCCATTTCACATTTGGACATCACATTGACTTGGTTAAAACCGAGGTCTTTCAGAGTTGGTTGGAGAAGGTCCCAGTTACACCTACCCTCGAGCTGGCTGGAGCCACGTGGCCCCAAGCCATGGGGAGGTCACACTCCAAGGACAGCTGCTCTCCACCTGAGGAAGGTTTTCTACAAGTTTAAAGCAGCACTTATAACCTGCCAGCCACCATCGAGGCATGGTTTTTACAATAGTTTTTCAAGTATTTTAAGCAACTGTTTAGGGAACACAGTTGAAGGCTGCTAACCTGCCAGTAATATGCATCCGTGTTTTAGTACAAATTAAATTTCCTGTCCTCTGCTTTAAGCACAGAATGATAAACACTTTAGTAGCTGGCCTGCCTGGTTTCTTCATTATATTTTTGAGGGCAGCAGAGGTCTAAGTTGTTAAAGATTTGTGAGTGCAGTAATACAGCACAGGCTGGCCTTTAACAGCAGTCCTGGGGACTAGTGTGGGTGTCCCAAGGGGTCCCCGTCCCTGCAGGACCCCTGTGCAGGGATTCAAGAGGAGCTGAGAGTGTTCCCTGTCTTGCCGGATGAGATCCTGTGAGATGACCTGTTAATCCTCTGACCTGGGGAAGCCCAGGGTGCAAGTTGCCTTCAATGCAAGATTTTGCATTGACGGGGCGGCACGGATGTGGGCTTTGGGCTTTTTTGGGGTGGTTTGGCTTTTTTTGTTTGTTTATTTGGTTGGGTTTTTTTCAGGAACCTCATTGTGAATATATTCTTTGGGCCATTTATGCCCAGTGACATTTTCACCAAATGTCAGCTTAGCCCCTTTGTCCCTGATGGATGGGGGCTGACTCCTGTGGTCTTGAGGCTTCTCAGCTTCTGAAATGCTTCTTCTCAGTCGTGATGCTGATTATAGAAAGAGTCGACAGTCCATGACGCCAAGTGTAGGGAAGCACAGCTAATTTTTTTAACAAGCTACATAATCACCAAGTTTTCATCCCGTTTTCCTTTTAAAATGGGAGTCTGACTGAGCTTTGGGTTTTCCCCTGCTAATTTGTAATATATTTTCTGAATTATGGGACAGGTTGGATATAAAGGAAAAGCGTGCTCACCAAACATCTTTGTTACTGTTATCTCTGTGCTGCTCCTTGGTTTCATCTGGAGAGTAATAATTCTCCTGTTATTTCAGGGAGAGCCCTCTGCAGAAGAGATGCCGCCCCTCGCGTCCCTTGTCTGTCTGGGTTACTGATATATAAGTAACAGGCATGGGAGAGGAAAACATGGAAAGGTCATTAAATGGGGATCTATACAAGCAAGTGGAAATCGGTGATTGATGGTATCTTTAATGTTTTGGGGCCTAAACACATGTACGTTTCCATCTTGGCCGGGGTGATGACGCTTGCAGGCACTGGGAAACGAGTTTAATGCCTGAAACCCAAGTGTCCTCCCGGGGCGCAGGCTCACCTGCTCACGGGCCGTCTTGGATTTCTTCCCTGGGCTGGACAGGAGCTGAAGCCCGTGCACAAATGTGGACTGAAGGATGTTTCTCCCAGGGGTGGGATTGGCAGCGATCGTATCTTACGCAGAAAGAAAGTTGGATTTTTCCCGCATGGTTCTCCAGGGACTCTTCTAGCTGGTTGGGGTGAGGTTTTCCTTGGAAAATGCCGTCCTCCAAGCAGATGCCATTCCCTCAGGTCAGCTTGGTTTTTTCTCACCTTGTGCTGGATGTTAAATGAGCGGTGCCACGGGTGGGTTTGAAACGCACCTCAGATGGGCGAGCTTGGCTCCCTTGTGCTGGGTGATGGCTCCCAGTGAAGACTGCAGGTTCTTATCCCATTGCTCTCCAGTTTTCTGCCGTTGGTTCCTGTATCATGAACAGTACATGGGGGTTGATTTCACTTGTCAGCCCCCATTTTTTTTTTTTTTTTTCTCTCCATTCAGCGTACCACATTTGAGAACTTTTTCCATGCAGAGCTCTAGCAACCAGAGACTTTGTGTTGAAGCACTAGGAATTTCTACCAAAATGAACGCTGATGTGCCAATGCCCATTGCAGCCCCTCTTGTATCGGCCTGTGAAGGAACAGAAGATCGAGCCAAGCTGCTGGATACAAACCCAAACCTGACTGTATGGAAGGGGAGGCTGGACCTAAAGGACGTTATTTCCTAACCCGAATTGGAGTGATTGTTGCTATTGGTCTCCGCAGAGCACATTAACCATCATCTCAAAAGCTTCCCGTATCCTATCACCTCAGACTCTTGTTTGCAGCCTCCCAGTTAGGGAGCTCCCACGAGCAGCGATAGGTCTTTATAGTTTCTTCCACGTAGACCACAGAATTCCACAGAGCTGGTGGAAGGTGGCTGAGCAGCACGTGAAGCTCACGGGTGCACTGTGCCTGCTCCCCGGCTTTACTGCTGCCTTTTCTTTTGTGTCTCCCCGTTAATCTCCCTGCTGCTTAGGAGGTGGATGTTGCTCCTGACACTCGGCAGCATCCCCAGCGTGGGCCCGTGTCCTCCTCTCAGTCTTAACCGGGCGTTTGCTGCTGAACCATGTGAGCACCGTCGTCCGGTTCCAGACTGGTGTAAGGGAGCCTTGCTGTTCCCTGGCTAATCCTCCCCCCCAAAAAATCACGTCCAGATCTTGCTTTATTGTGCATGCCTTCCCTGGGGGCTGGCTAGGCTTGCTTAGGGGGGAGATAGAGCGTCTGAGAAGTAAGATAATCCCAGCTGCATACTTGGAGGAGGCAAGGAGCACAGGCAGGCTCTGCTTCTGGGGTTTGATTGGCAGCAAGTGCTGGGCTGATCTCAAATATTGCTGACTTTTTAAAAGGCACAATTATGTGATTCAATCTATATGTTTGATGTTCCTAATAATCCATTAGTGCGGGATGTAAAGACGGATGCTTCTTAGGAACATGCAGAGGCAACAGAATAGCGGTCCCTTTGTGTGAGTGAGTAGCTTGTTAGGAAATAAGTGATGCAAACAGACATTTACGGGGCTGATACACCTCAGAAGCGCTCGGCGACTTGATGTCTTCATCGTTTCGCTTGAGACTCTCTGTCATTCTGATTTCTTGAAGCTTGGAAGATGCAAGGCGTTGGTTTGTGTTTCCACGGGAATCAAGAGGCGAGGGAGCAGGGGTGCGTGCTCAGCCCGTCGGCGTTAACCAGCCCGCGGTGACGTGCCGAACGGAGCAGCCCGTGCTGTCAGTACGGTGCTTTG